CTGTTTCTATAGAAAGGCTCCTCATTAAATGCCTGCTACTCATAACATCTAAGGCCTAATTTAGATGTCCCCCCACTTCCACATACACCATTGACCCCTGAAATAGGACATAACCATTTAGCTGAACTGACCTATTTTCAGAGCTAAGAGACTGATTCAGTGAGTTATGGAAATCTACCAACTCAGTTTCTGGACTGTGGCATCAGTATTATCTTGGTAAACAAACTGTAATACATAACAGTCTATTTTATATATTTTAACTTTCTATAATAGAAATTCTGAAACATGTAAAAGTAGGTCCAGTAATATAAGGAATCCCATGTGTAATCTCTTAGCTTCAATTACCAGCTTATGGCCAATCGCCTCTATTTTACGTTTATAAACTATAGTGTTTAAAGTACTTTAATCTACATTATCTCCTTTGGCTCTCGTAACAGCTGTGAAAGGTAGGTTCCGTAGTTTTACAGTAAAATTCTGTTGCTAACAAATTATCATTTTAATGTAAATGCCAATTTTTTTTTTAGGGATGATTCGAAAGCTTTAATGTAAATGCCAATTTTTAAGAGAGCAAGGGAAAAGATATAAAGGATGCTGGTATGCCTTTATACATGTTTTATTGTGTTTTTGTGTACCCTAGTTCGTTAATAAAGGGAAGAGGAGGAACACTGGCATGTTTTACCTCCAGCTATTATTCAAACTGAATAGAATTATTTTCCAATAAAATTGTTAGGATGAATTGCCAATTTCTACTTTTCTAGGAAACCACTTTTCCTGAAAACCTTGATCCCAACCTATCATAAAAAATGGGATTTTACTCAACAAATTACTTCTAACATCACATTTTGTACATAATAGCTGCAAATGTCTAAAATTTTAAGGAACCATTATAATTTAGAACAACTTTAGGCCAAACATGGTATTTGTAGAGGATCCAGATGCAAGAAAATAAACCAAATGAGCCATTTAATTTGTGGTTTGGATGTCATTTTTCTGACAGTTATCAATGAAACTGTCATGTAGCCCTGGAATTTGGGGCTGTTAGAAGTATTTATTTTGGATGTCACTCTTTCACATCTGATATTTTAACAAAGAGCAAAGAGTTATGTTCATGTGCATGTGGGTATCTTCACATGACATTATTACTTGCACATGAATTAGTTCTGATTCTCTCTACAACCTGATTTGCATACCCATATCATCATATAGATATTTACAAATACTTGTGTACAGATTTTTTAAAATTTTATTTTATTATGTTATGTTAGTCACCATACATTACATCATTAGTTTTTGATGTGGTGTTCCATGATTCATTGTTGCGTATAACACCCAGTGCTCCATGCAGAACGTGCCCTTTTTAATACCCATCACCAGGCTAACCCATCCCCGCATCCTCCTCCCCTCTAGAACCCTCAGTTTGTTTCTCAGAGTCCATCGTCTCTCATGGTTCGTCTCCCCCTCCAATTTGCCCCCCTTCATTCTTCCCTTCCTACTATCTTCTTTTTTTAACATATAATGTATTATTTGTTTCAGAGGTACAGGTCTGTGATTGTGTACAGATTTTTTTCTTGATCTCTTTCTTACTTGACTAAGAATATTCAGGATGTCCCCAGATGCTCATTTGAAGGTTGATTTAGTCACAGTGGCAGAACCCCAGGCTCAAATGTCAAATGGGATCAGTTCTATACAGTGCACTAATCGGGCTGCAATCTTTTTGCTCCAGAAGTTACAGTTGCATGTTACTCATCAAGGCAAAATGTAAATGTTTAGTGATTATACGATATGTTTTTGTTAACTCCCCAGATGGGATTTTTTTTTTTTTACCTTTGTTTATCTGAGAACAACAACCGAATGCTGATGAAATGCTGTGGCTGATGCCAGCAATCTAAGGCTTCATTAGTACAGATGAAGCAATGCTCACTTTGTTACACAAATAATTAGAGAGATTAAATGAAAATAAACACTGAGAGGATGTACAGAAGCTCTGAAGTTAGGTAATTATTTTAATTACTCTAGTGACTTCCACCAACCTTCACTATCAGCCACAGATCAAGTTTAAATTGTTCTATGTAAAAATATCATAGACTATATGGAAAAGTACTATAGCTACTCAGTGATTATGCTTCATAAAAATGGCATTTTCTTTAAGCTTCCACTAAAAGGAGTTTTTTCCATTCTGGTGCCTGACAAACTCTCTAAATATCTTAAAAGCATGATACATTTTTGCACTTTAAAGTGTTTTACCCTGGTTCTTGCTTCAAATGGACATTCTTAATAATTTTGTATCTTTATCTTGACTCGTATTTGATCATGAAAGATGTGGGTTCACATTTTTGAGTCACTGAATGTAAAACAATATGGCATATTCAGTCATTTGAAATAAATGTCACTTGGAATCATGTCATCCTTACTGTATGACAAGCTGCACCTTGTATTTGGGGTAAATATTTTATTCCCCTCCCTACCTCAAATGGGGGAAGACTACCACACACTGACACCTTCCTGACAGGCGGGGGCCCTTTTCAGGGGCATCATGAGTCCTGTTTAGAATGGATCTCATTTTTATTCTGGTGCGACGATGATTCTGCCAATCTCCCGGGTTAAGATCTTCTTTTGAACAAGTGTTACCTGCATTTAAATACCATTCATTGCTTGCATGATGCCAGCTCCTCTGCAAAATACTTTACCAAATTTATCCTATTTAATCCTTATAAGATTTCCATGGAGTATGTATTATTAACTCCATTTTCCAGGTGAGGAAACCGAGAAGCTCACCTGACTTTCTAAAGTTGCTCAAGTGGCCCAGCTGGGAATCAAACCAAGGTCAGCCTGACTTCAAGAACCACGATGCCCCCAACAGATGATTGGATGCAAATGCTGACGAAAGATAATAGAAACGATGAGGTGACCTCAAGGTGAATGTGCTAGTTAAGCATTGTGTTAGAGGACACCTGTGAATTCTGAACACCAGTTAAAATCTCCAGTTTCAAAATTTGATTGATTTTGAAAGTGTCTCATCTGTGAATGGCCCTGGTTGCTGGAGAAGAAGCAATTAGGAATGGATTTTTATGGAATAGTAAGTATAACCAAGAATTCCCAACTAACAAAGATTAGTGAAGTTTCTTAATACAATTCAGTAACCACTTGAGCTTCACTCCAGCTAACACACTCGGCATTTCTCTTCAACTACATTAAAAATTTCAGCAGGATGAATGAGACCAGTAATCTTTGCAAAGGTCGCCAGGTGTGCCTGCTGTTTTCTAGTATTTAAGAAAAGCCTTTACTGGGTTCCCTCCCCCACCTAACTGCCCCAAGATACTGACATTGGTTTCAGGCGGTGCACCCCCAGGCCTGATCACGACACATTTTTCAGGAGGTTGTGTTATATTCAGAGGACCATTAGGGTAGCTGAGAGTCAGGGAAGGGTCTAATGGATTCATTGTTTCCTATGTTAGGATGCACTAATCTGCCAAGTTTATAGTATGAGTTGTGGCTGATACAGGGAGCTGGGACAGAACGCTAGTCCTTGCTTGCGGTGGGAGGGTGGGGAGGGAGTGCATGTTAACTTTATAAATTTCACCCTCAGGTTTCAGACTCCGAGCAGGAAGTTAGGGAAATTCACAAGCGCTCCAACTCCCGGTGATAGAGCAGCAAGGGTAGGGCTTAAGAAATTGAAGACTCTCAAAAAAGGCCGGAAGGGTGGGGTGGGCTATCAGCTCCAGAGCTCTCCAGCGCGCCCTCACGCAGAACGCGCAATCGGAGGGATTTATTTGTGAGCGAGACTGAGGAAGACAAACAACCGAGAGAAGATGGGCTCAGAAATCATTTATCGTGGGCTGGCGTGGGGAAAGGCTTTCCTGCTGCTTTTGCAAGCACCTCCCTGGGACATGACTATGAAACCTGGCCCCTCTTCTTTCCTCCCGGTACATTATAGACAGCCAGGGACTCAGCTAGAAGGTCCGCTCGATAGAGAAAGTCCTAAGCACCAGTTGTTTACTCGTAGTCTTCCAGGCACTGTCATGGTTCTATTATGTCTTCGTACGCTGTTTGATTTTGATTGCACCACGTTTATACATCTCGGAGGGCCAACCCCTCCCGGTCGGGCTGTGTCGAAAGTGATTTCTTCAGGCCGCGCAGCGAGGAAGCCACGGGCTAGACTCCGGGGACCCACCTTCTATTTGCACTTGGCCACTTGCTACTGACCTCGGAGAAATCACTTTAAACGCTGAGCCTCAGCTTCCTCAGCCGTAAAATGAAGGCGATTCTACTTTCCAGGCCTCTTTAAAAGGATCGTCGGGAGGGTCAAACAGAATAATTCTGATGGCAGCGAACTGTGAGGAAATGTGACTCCAAATTACTGAAGGAAAAATAAGTTAAACATCCTCAGCTGGAGTTTTAGGAATTTCCCCCCAATTATCTCACTGCAGGCAGGCAGCAACCGTTTGGATGGATTCTTTCTTACGGACCATCTTACACGCCAGACACCTACGTGTGGCACCCCTCCGTCTCCCAGGGCTTCTATTCATTTCTGCCTTTCAGTGAAAGCGCTTTTTTTTTTTTTGCTGCCGCTGTTGGGTACACACCCCAGCACACCAACCCTGCAGCTGGGGGCCAGAGAAGGGATCTTTTACCCTCCCCGCCTTTGTCCCCTCACTCCCCACCCTAGGTCTCCCGAGTTTTCCGCACGTGAATGGGGCTTCCTGGCTGGTCTCTAAAGACCTTACAGTATTTCAGAAAGCTACGAGTGCGCGGAGATCAGCGAACGAGCATCCAGCCCTTCCCGCAGGTCGTGCAGCCCCGCGAGGACCCTCCTCCCGCTCCTCCGGCAGTGCAGCAGCCGCCTCCAGAGCCAGCTCTCGAGGCCGTCAGCGGCAGACCCCGCGGAGAGCCGGGGCCCCCCTCGCAGCCCCTCTCCGCCAGTAGCAGCGCTGCTGTCTTCCCACAGGAGGGAGGACTGGGAGGACGCCGGAGTCTGCAGCGCCCCCGCCCCCTCGCTTTTTCTTTCTTTCCTTGCTTTGGGATCTTGCTGCCGGAGCCGGGAGAGGGTCTGAGAAGACAAGCGAGAAGGACCGGAGTGCAGGCTTCCGCTGCGGCGCGCGAGCAGAGCTGGGGGCACAACATCTCCGGCGTCCCCTCCCGGTCTTCGCCCACCCGGCTGGGATGTGACCCAGGAAAGCCCTCAGCGCCTGCCTCCCGCCCTCCAAGGTGCCCCCCAGAGAGCTCACTGGGAGCACACCGCTGGAGTCCCTTTGGCCGCAGCGCCACGGGACGGGAGTGGCAAGGAGTCCTGGGGCCGGTTCCCAGCTCCCACTCTTCAGAGAGAGCGGCGGGGGATCACCGCTTTCCTGGCGCTCCGCGCAACTCCGGGGCCAGCAGCGCGCGGCTGGACAGAGTCCCGCTTCCCGCCGACTCACCGGGATTGGGGGACGGCGTCTGCCCGCCTGCACTCCCTGTAGCCCTAGTTTCTCGGCACCTGCACCGATCTCCCACGCCAGGGGCCTGAGCCCCGAGGCTCTCGGCCCCCGCAGCATCCTCAGACCCCATGGAGAACGCGCCCGCCGCGGCTTCCTGAGTGCTGGCGCCGCCGCCGTCCAAACTGCGCGCTGGGGTCCTCCATCTCGCCCCTCTTAGGGGCGTCCGAGAGGCCAGCGAAGAGCGCACCATGAAGTCCGTGCTGTTCAGCCGCTTCTTCATCCTCCTGCCCTGGATCCTAATCGTCATCATCATGCTCGACGTGGACACGCGCAGGCCCGCGCCCCCGCTCACCCCGCGCCCCTACTTTTCTCCCTACGTGGTGGGCCGCGGGGGCGCCCGACTCCCGCTCCGTAGGGGCAGGCCCGACAGCGGCCCCGGACGCGGCTGGCAGAAGCGCAACGAGTCGCGGCCACAGCCACGGCCCGAGCCGCCTCTGCCCACCATCTATGCCATCACGCCCACCTACAGCCGCCCGGTGCAGAAAGCCGAGCTGACCCGCCTGGCCAACACATTCCGCCAGGTGGCGCAGCTGCACTGGATCCTGGTGGAGGACGCGGCGGCGCGCAGCGAGCTGGTGAGCCGCTTCCTGGCGCGGGCCGGGCTGCCCAGCACGCACCTGCACGTGCCCACACCGCGGCGCTACAAGAGGCCGGGACTGCCTCGCGCCACGGAGCAGCGCAACGCGGGTCTCGCCTGGCTGCGCCAGAGGCACCAGCATCAGCGCGCGCAGCCCGGAGTGCTCTTCTTCGCCGACGACGACAACACCTATAGTCTGGAGCTGTTTCAAGAGGTAGCGGCCGGCCCGCCCCAGCTTGGGAGGGGGGGCGCGCAGGAGGGGCCTCGGGGCCGGCCGGGCTGCGGCTGCACTTGTGAGTTCTCACTTTTCCGTACTCCCATTCGGGAGTACAGGTGGAGCGCTCCTCGCGGGCAGCCTGCAGCTTCCGCTGGCCCTTGAGAGGACCGCTGTGGCTCAAGGGAGGGAGTGTGTGACCAGGGGCTTCGCAGTCCACCTGGTCTTGAGACTGAGCCGAGGGAGTAGCACAGGTGAGGCGCGAGGGTATTTCCAGGAACGAGGCTCTGGCTGGCTGGAGGATGAAGTCCAGATGGCAGAGAGAGTCCCTGGGGGAGGCACGCTGTCAGGAACAGGTCGCGGAGGGACCCAGCTCACTGGGCAGGCGGGCTTGGTGTATTCTCGAGTCTAGAACCATTCAGGGAGGAAGGTGGAGATGGTGACTAAACATCATCCCGGAGACAAATTTCTCTCTTACAGCCCGCTGGCACGGAAATGGTTAGAGTGAAAAGAGTGACTTCTCCAGGGTGTGTGTGTGTGGGTCCAACCTCTATCTCTTCCTGCACCCCCCAAAAGCCCTTTCTGATTCTGAAGATTGCCTCTTTTTCAAGGAAAACCTCTGGTAAATGAGTTGAGACTGTTGTGCCCTGTGGTTGTTTTTCTGCAGCTCGAATCATGAGGAAGACAGCCCCGTTCTTTTTCTAAACCTTTCTCTAAGGCCTCTCTTGGGCAAGTTAGCCAGGCTACTCTTGCACCTGCCCATTGCATCCTGGTGCTCCCTGTGAGGTCCTGGGTGCAGCGCGGTCCCCTGCCGCCTAAATGGCTCTTTTCCCTTGGAAGGCCACTCATGCACAGAGCCAGCAGGGGGGTTAGGACTGGTTTTACTTCTTGAGGCTGGTATTTTGCAGTCTGTGTGTGTTCTGTGAATGAGTCGGGATTGCATGGTTTTCACTTTCCTAATACACAAAGATACCTGGGGGGAAAACAAAACCTGGGAAACAAAAACAAAAACTTGGGATTCTTTGACACTTGGTGGGACTTGCTTTCCTCTATCCCAAATTCCTTGACCTACTGCTTCTGAGACTCCATCGCACCCCCCGCCCTCCCAGTGTGTGTGTCTAGTAAACATAAATGCCCCACAACTTCATCCTCATATCTGTTTGGCTTTCTTAACCTCAGGACAGAGTGACTTTGTACCCTTTCAGTTTAATTTTTCTGCCTATGTGGCTTTTAAGAATCCATTTTTTTATGGGCAGTTGTCACCTTCATTTCTATTCATCCTCTCCTTCATGAATAAAAGGACCAGTAATCGCTTTCCATCCTTCTCCAACTTTTTGCAATGTAGGGCTTTCTTTCTGTGTTCCTTCAGAAGAAATAAATAATATATAATAAGATAAGCTTGACATTGTAGGGGGTAGTCTTTATTATAACCAAGATCAGAGAGATAATCTGATTTTTCTTTAAGTTGGGCTTCAATTTTGATCCTGCTTACATACTCTTTCCCTAAAAGATACGGTGGTTTGTATTCTGAAGCAAAGACCTTTACATTTCAATACACCATAATTTTAAACTTCAAAGTTTGTTGTTTTTTTTATTTTTTACCCTCGGAAGTTGCCTCGGAACTTGGAAGTTGCCTTACTTGTAGAAATGTGTGGTCTTGGCATACATAATGCACATCTTATTAATAAGCTTTTTAGGGGGATGGGCTGTGAAGGGGGAGTTATTTTTCGGTTTATCGCCAGGTTCTAGCGCACTGGTGTGAAGGGTTAGTTGAGTGCGAGAGCTGGTGTTCCAGGCAGTGAAACAATGGAGCCCAGTCTTTCTTTGATGCTTCCCAAACTGAAAGGAAGGCTTGTTGGTGGGGGATATTAAAGCAGCAAGAGAAAAACCCAGTAGATTTTTTCATTGGTCCATTGGAAAGAGAGAAAGAATATAAAGGAGGAGAGGGTGAGGAGGAAAAATAGTAGTGGCCCAGAGGAAACTATAAAAGGAAAAAAATGCAAAACTTATAAGACACTAAAATTTTGTACAGTAGGAAGTAATGAAAAAAATCAAAATTTAAGAGCATGTGCAACTCTTTTTTATGGAGAGGTGCCAAGTGGTACAAAATATACGACAGAAGGACTGTTTAAAAAACGTCATACACATGATACACTTGGAATTGAAATTCTGTAGCTCCCAGAGGCCACTCCCGGACAGTAATTTCAAGACTAGTCCCTTTCTCCACCACCTCTCATCCTCCCCCACACACAGTGTTTTTGGACAGAGTGGGCATCTGTTCACCATGCATATATGTTGATACATTCAGTTTTCCTTTTTGCAACGCATTCTTTTCCCTGTAAGGCAAGTGATATTGAACTCTCTAAAAAGTCAGGTTAGTGGGATTTATGCATCCTTGGATTTGTGCGGTAATGGGATGGTCTACCTTATACCCGTTCTAAGATTAATGATTCCATGTGGATTATAGTCTAGACATTGCTCTCTTGGAGAACAGGTAGGACTAGATAAAACATCTAAAAGCTGCAACTCCTTGGGGGGAAGAGAAGATGCTGATAAAGGATGATGTAGAGGCGAGGCGTATAGATCTCAGTCCTCCATATTGTGCATACACACAAATTAGTTTTTAAGTAATTCACAGTACTTGAGAGAATGTCCCAAGTCAGGCTTCATCTTTTATTCATAGTGCTTCTAATTTCCATGGTTGATGTTAATGTAGATAAGATAAAAGGAGGAAAATGAACCAGGTACAAATTAGCTCGCTAAGCATTGGCTGCAAATGAAGGAAACTAAAAGATGAAAGGTCTCCAAATTAAATTAAAGGCGCAACAGGCAATCTGTGTTCAATTATTTCTCCCTGGTAACTGGAGAGCTGCTTTCTTCATACAGCTAACTGATGTTCAGCATCCCCTCTCAACTGAGCTGTGCTGCCAGGAAAGAAATATTTGCATCGAAATAATGCTACCTTAGCAGCCAAATCCACTTGCAAATGAAGCTGTGGGGGGAGTGGTAGCCACAGAAACTGGACTGTCCGTTGGAGGAGATGGACAGGGTTTTTCAGGTTTGCAGTATCCCAGCAGGTCCTTCTGCTCTCCCTGTGGCACGGAGGGGTTTTACACTACAGATCGCAGATAATCCTGCCTGCCTGAGCACCCTATCTGTCTAACCCCCCGGAAAAGCTTCTTTGTGAAGGATTTAAGCTACTTTAATACAAGCGACAACTGCAGATAAATGTGGCTCTCTAGTTATATTTTCAATAACACTATTGATGAGACTTCTGTTCTTCACTAGAAAACCTTCCAGTGTTTCCTGAGTTTAAAGCTGATGCTTTTCAGGTGAAGTTGCTTTCACCTTTGGAAATCAATTGAATCGAAAGGTTAAAAAACAGTCCTTTCCCAGCAAGAAGAAAAAACTTTAAAATTTTTTAAATTTAATGAGCAAAGACTGGAAGACAGGCCAACAGTGAGACACTTAAGAGGGGGTGGGTGAAAGGACTCTGTTAATGAGAAAGCATCTTGAAGATGCCTTTCTGGCAAGCAGTGAACTAAAGAGGCCCTTTGTTTCGATTTTTCTGTTGGGTGCAGTTAAGCTATTTGTGTGCTGAGCAGGTGGAGGAGTTGAGGTTTAATTTTCTGTCTCGTTCTTTTCCTGAAGCATCAGTATGCTCCCCTCTTTATATGCAGCTTATTAGAGCCACAATCCAAAGGATATTCAAATTTACAGTGTTTGGCACTTCCCCCCAAGTAGTAAATTCTGCCTGTGTTTCTTGAAAGGAGACCAGAGATCTACCTTTACTTTTACCTTTGTTACTGTTACTTAGTGTAGGGTAATTATCTTTTCGAAGTGAAGAAACCTAAAAGAATCTCTTAGGTGTAGTATAAAATGACTTTTTTATTACCTGAAATATGCCCTTTGTGTTTTATTTCTCCCCCATCTAAAACCATATTAACAATCCTGTTGTAGGGCTGATAAAACGTGAGAATTTTCTAAAACTGCACCCAATTTTCTTAGTCTGTCAGTGTTAAATCTCAAGATTTTCTGTATTCTCCCTGGGTGTATAGTACTTGAGTTAGGGCTAATTTTTGAGTTTTCTATGAAGACCAGTTTTCATTTGGATTTTCAGATTTTAATGGACCAGAAATAACAATTTGGGTTTAAAAGACATTCTCTTTTCTGCCTCTTCTTGTTGTCTTCTTCCATCATTCTTTGTCCTCCAACCTGCTTTTCACTGATTATCCTTTCTCATGAATAGACATGAAGACATGCCCAGATTATTGTTTGGTGTAATGAACGTGTGTCTTTTAAACATTTAGACTCTTGTCTCCTTCTTGGAATCTATAGTGGGTGACTCCATTTTCTTCTGTCTACTCCACTTGCCTCTAAATTACAAGCTGGTAAATTTTCTCTAGTGTGAACAGTAATGGAATAGTAATTGCTTTTAAGGCATGCTACAAAAGCAAAATAGAAGAACCAAAGGCAATGGTCTTATTAACTATTCTAGGTGGTATTCAAGTAGTGCTTTTTTTTTTGATACAGAATTCAATAATGTTCAGATATGTCTATTCAAACGTTTTGAAGTCTGAGGAAATATTTGCTCAGTCTGTATAGTTAACACATTATATACTTGATTTGCTGTGCTGTTGAAGCATGATATTTTAAGTTTTGCATGCATCTCAAGTCCTCCCTCCAAAACACAAATAAAATTGTTACACCAGTCCGTAGGTGGGTAGGTAAATAGGTAGGTTTAGAACAGATTTCCAATTCACAGCAATAAATGAAGATAATCCATTGTTCATGCCTGGTAGTTCTTGTGCATAATTTAAAATAAATGTTAAAATACTCTTTCCCATGGATACAGGCAGAATGCGGTTGACATCAGTTCAGCACTTCACTATGGGCCAGGAACCACCCTTAGGGTTTTAACCTTTTTTTTTTTAAAGATTTTATTTATTTATTTGAGAAAGAGAATGAGAGACAGCATGAGAGGGCAGAGGGTCAGAGGG